TGGCGTATCAAATACACGACATTTTACTTTTTTAACAAAAAATAAGAACAATGTAATAAGCAACCGTAGTTGGTGTGTACTAGAAGTAGAATCTCCCAAGGTATTTATTTATTTATTTTTATCTTCTAAAAAGTAAGTTTTCACTTCTTTTACAAAATTAAATTATTTTTCAATTATTTTTGTTTTGTTTTGTAATTTATTTTTGTTTTAATTTATTCGGGTTCTGTGAATAAGAAAAGGAAACATCAATCCACGTCCTGCACCAATGTGAAAGCCTAACTAGATTTAGGTTTCTAATACTAGATGAAGAAAAGCCAGACACATGTAACTACATGCATGTGGATGCCACTGCCAAGGAAACTAAGTCTAATAAAAAAGTCCAAGATTAGATGACATACTCTAAAACAAACGGAATCCCATAATAGATCTAAAAAGGTTGCGGTGGACACGGAAAAATAATGTCTAACTCCTTTTAAATCTAATATCTAATCTACCCTTATTTTTGACAAAAGCGTCGTGACATGCCACTCATATTTTGGTAAGCCTTTTTTGTACAATTAGCTATCGCCTCGGAATTTTTAATAATTTTTACGTAAAAGTCTTCAGTATTCTAAGAAATTCTTCATGTTGGGTATTTAGAAGCAAATTGATATGAAAATATTGTTTATTATTCGCGCTCATAAAGAGCCTATATAATAATTGCAAATGGTTACAACAACATTGCCAACTATTAGTTAAAATGTTGAATATTGATAAAACCATTTAAGTGACTCTTCTTTCGAAATATCAGAATTCAATTTCAAAACAAAATATTCAAAACGATAAACCCCCTTGGATTATGGAGGAACATAATGTTCTCATAGGCGCAGGGTACTGCCTAAATGTAACCAATGGATTTTGAATTGTAAACAATTTTACTGCAGGTAAATATACTAAATACTTATGGTATCTAATACCAACCAATTTCAAATGAGTTGTTTGCATGTAGTAATTATTAAGGTAGTTCACACGCGACAGTCGTACACAAAAATATCGCCAAAAGTTTGAGATTCTTAATGCTGACAAATGTTATTTTTGTAAGAGAGTGAACACAATTTATGTAAGCTTATGTACGGATGCGTTATTATTTCAAGTAAAATCCATTCGGCAACGTCTCAAATATATGAATGGTGTGCTATCAAGTGTATACCTGTAGAAATTTGTAACTTCCTCATACTAATTTTAAGGGTTTGTCTTGGTTCAAACAGAACCGTCTATTTCAGTTCTCAAATACAGTAGACAAATTAATTTTTCAAAAACACGTCACGAGGTTATAACAACCTCTTAGCTAATCGAGTGTAATTCAGTGATTCTGAACTAACAAGCTTCAAGACTTAATTATGCACAATTTTATTGTTAATATCTCGTTTCACAGACAGTCAAAAAACATTTTTTTTTTTTAGTTAGTTACGTAAAAGACACTTTCATTAACTTTATATTTCAATTTTATTGAATTCTTAAGAAAAGCCATTTTAGGAATGAACTACTTTAAATATTATTTTAAAAAAATGAAAATAAAGTCTTAAAATCTAAATCTTGAAGCTTATTTTTAATTAGGTATATTTAATATGGAACTTAATTTTTAAATAAAATGTACCTATTTATTGTAGATTTTTATTTGCATTTAAATTTTTTAAAAATTGCTATCTATCCAAATTAATCCATTTTAAATAAGGAATTCTTATTATAGGTATTTAAAAGTATTTTATCAGTAAATTTCAATCGATGCTACCAATTTTAAATTAGTCACACCACTTCATGCATTGTCAGAATTGTTAAAATAGAGAACAAACACAATGCCATTATTTCTTCTGTTCTTTCTAACTTGTGTACGGAAAAATGTTGCTACAGTACTTTGTAAATAATAAAGTTCATTAATCTAATTGTGTATAACTATTTTTGGTTGATAAATAAAATGCTTTAATTGGTCTTTATTTTATTTCATAAAGGAAGGTATGTAGTCAGAAATATGTATTATATTTATGCTTCACATATAAAACGGGTTCTTCACAATATTTTTCTATTTTCTTTTCTCCTTAATCATTCAAGCTTTATGTATATTTACTCAAAATGTATACAAATTGTTTAAAGTAAAAAATTAATAATCCTATAAAATTGAGTAAATAATATACAAAATGACAAGCCTGTGCATGGTCTATATAGTATCACAATACTGTGAAATACTATTCTTACGTTGAAAGTTAAAAATATACGCTATAAAACAATATTTTTAAAATCATGTCCATTCGCTTTCATCTAGCCTTTTATAATAATTAACAATATATAACCCCTTCCATACGGTACGGCACTGCCAAGTTTTCCGTTTGTATACTTTTCTTCTCTCCCCGTCTAGATAATCATTAAACCCACTACTTTCACAGGTAAGGCGTATCTATCCTAATACATGATCGTATCTTGGAAAGCACATGTTTATTCAATATTAAACTACTTTGTCTTATGTCATTAGTGTCAAAAAATTTGTCAAGTTGGTTGAGCTTCCCTTGTATAGAAGTCCTCTATTGAGAATATTTGTCACGCAATAATTGGATTGTATCTAACAAAATTTAACGATTTACATTGTCATTGAGATTATAAATTAAAATTAAAACGGTTTAATAGAACCTGTCTATCAAAAAATTATCTATTGCAAAACGAAAATAATTCTACAAGGAGTCGCCACCACCTTATATTCAGCTCCTTCTCGAATAACCGTATAATTTTTCAACGTATACCGAATTTTATTACTTGAAAAGTAAGCCACGGCCGCATGCGATACGATGAAAAATTAACGTAGAAGTCAAATATGCATAAAATTTGAGCGGGTTTCTTATTAAAATAAATGGTACGATTATAATTCGATGTTTACTACCTTACGCATAATATCCTCGGATATTGTCTATCCAATGGATTGAAATAGAGTGGTATTACATGATTTTAATCGAGAGATACAAGAAAAAATATTGTCATCTTTGAAAGCAAACCGATCAGCTTAGAAATTTCTTTTGGGTATTTATTTTTGGTACAATTTTTGTGAAATTTTCAGGAAATACCAGTAATAACAAAACTTAGGGTGGAGATGCCTTGATTTTTTTGTAAACCCAGAGGTACACGAGATACTAAGTCCCCACAGGCATAGGGCCCCAGTAATATGCAGTGTATTGTTAAAATACATAGATATTAAATCAGATACGAGGTGTGGCAGAAAAGTAATGAGATTTTTTACTTTACAAAGTTTTTATTTCTTTCTGGAAATCTTCAACCGTTATGGTTTTCAGCATGTCTGTTACAGTCTTTTGGATGATTTCTAAAGTCCCGAAATGACGGCCTTTGAGTATATTTTTCAATTTAGGAAAAAGGAAGAAGTCACAGGGACTAAGGTCAGGGGAATAAGGGGGATGGGACAGGAATGCTTTTTAAGGTCAAAAATGCTCTTATGGAGAGGGCAGTGTGACATGGGATGTTGTCATAATGAAGCAACCATTTCACTGCAATGTCTGGTCTCTTGCAAAAGACCCTTTTTCTGAGCCTTTCAAGGATTACTTTACTCGTAAAGCCGTCCTTGAAACGATCCTTGAAAAATGTCCTCAAAGACCGTCATTTCGGAACTTTAGAAATCATCCAAAAGACTGTAACAGACATACTGAAGAACATAACGGTTGAAGATTTCCAGCGCTGCTACGAACAGTGGGAACAACGTCTTCATCGATGTGTAGCTGACCAAGGAAACTACTTTGAATGGGATAACATTGATGTTTGAAAGAAATAAAAACTTTGTAAAGTAAAAAATCAGTCTCATTACTTTTCTGTCACATCTTGTATTAGTTCCTACAAAACGCAAAAGACTTATTTTGTTACTAGTGAAACACAAGGGCATAGATAAGGGGGCGGTAATAGGGTAAATTACCCCCAAGCTATAGTCAACATAATTTTTTTAAACGTTATATTAAACAAAAATACAAACAAATAAATACAATTAAATAAAAAGTTTCTCAAACATTGTCATTTAAACTAAAAATAATGCTATAAATTCAAAACTAAAATATATTTCTGAACAAAAAATTAAAAACTAACAGTCTTTTTTTCTGGTAATACACATATGAGCTCTAGATTTTGCATTGTTATTATATTTTAAGACAACATGCATTCATCAATAATGTGAGAAGAAAACAACCTAGCTACACGCTTAATGAAACACATGCCGCAAGAGTAGGATAGAGGATTAGCAGAGACCTTCCAAATGAGGTGTCTTATATTTAATAAAATTGTTGATTACGTGTATATCAAACATTAAAAAATTACGTGTTTTAGGATTTTTTCAAAAGTTCCATACTTTTGCAGAAAAAATGTTATATACTATAATAAATAGTATAAATTATTTAAACAAGAATTGACACAGACAGAGGCAAGACCTATCTATGATCGAAATAAATGCTAATATTTATTGTGAAATAAAGATAATGAAATGTGAATGGATTAAAAATACTGTAACAATAGTGTTTATTGATAATATTAATAAAATAAGTGACTTATCATTTAGTTAATAGCAAATCGTGCTTGCAAAATCTATGAGATGCACGATTGATTAGATGAAACGAAATAATATCAAAAAGTCACATTCTTTCATGATGCAATCTTGACTTCAATGCGTTTATTTTAAGATAAATAAGTATTTGAAGGTTTTTTCATTGTTAAATAAAAATATTTGATGCAAGGAAAACGCACATTTTATAGTACATGGATAAATTAATATATATTAATTTTATAATTGAATCATTTTTTTTCTTGCAAAATTTAAAAATATTTTAACACTGTGAATAGTCGAAGTATGCCCAAGCTTGCGTGCGATTTATCGTTTATTGTTCTTTTTCGTTTATAAATGCTCTAATTAAGCGCACAATAAAAAAGTTGAGACCACTCTTTGTTGAATCGGAAGGATTTTTTTTATATTTATTTCCTTTTAGTTTGATCCAGCCATTCAAAGATATCATGCAATGAAAGAGAGCGCTTTCGAACACTTCAAACCAACGCTTAAAAGTAGTTTTTTTGGATTGGCTTTTATGATAATTCCGATTTCGCTATATTGTTACGTCATCTATAATCAAAGAAATAGACGAGAGGAAAAACTAAGAAGAGGAGAAGTTGCCTATAAGGATAGAAACTTTAAATTGATTTGACTAAAAAAATGTTTATAGAGATATTGTATTAGTAAAAAGATAAAAATTAATATAAAATTTATTTAATTATTTTATTTTATTTGACAAGTCTTTTCATGACATATACCTAATTTTGTCAAAAGTTGACTTATGTGGTTTTTGAAATGAACGATTCAAATATATATCAATTGTATACCAGGTTTTTAAAAAATAAAGGTAGGTACTTTAGTCTTGAGCTAAATAAATAGGAAACGATAAAAAAAAGCTTTATTATTGGAATTTACGTAAAAACAATACATAGGTATGTTTGCTTTCAACAACCACGTTACAATACAAGTAATTGTGGGCGGTGATGGCACAATATTTTTCAGAACATTTCTAATAGCCTACATATTTAAAAACAATCGATCATATCTTTATTAAATTCCCCATGAAATACCTACATATATACGAAAAATATAAAGTATCTCGAATTGAAAACAATAATTTTTATTGATACGTTATGTACAAGACAAGCAGGGGCGACGAGAGGGGGGACTAGCCGGGACAAATTCCCTGCTTCCGGGCACAAGTGAGGGCCCGGCAACGGCACAAGGGGGACCCGGCAGGGTTAGGTCCATTTTTTTAGAAGTTTGCCAGAAAAGGAGAAATATAATATGAGGGCCTTCTTTTTAGAAATGTGATATTGAAAGGGCATAATTATTTTTATAAAATTGTCGCGGGGTCGTACTGGAAAATTGTCCTGGGGCCCGACCTGGCTCTCGGCGGCCCTGAGGACAAGTTAAAATATTTGAATACAAAAATAAATATACAAACAAAACTTAAATATAATTTAAGATTAAACGACTCACCTGTAAGGAAGATCAATCGTAATTATACGACTAGTCCGGTTCGTAGTTGCTTCATTTTATGCAAGCGTAATCTATTTTTAAAGAAAACAAAACAATTTCCTGTCCCATCACATCACTCATACTTCATTACGGATATTAGTAACCGCGACTTTTCGGGTTGGGTAATGTACAAAAGTAAGCCCTTACTTTAAAGAGAGGGATGTTCTATACGGACCGGATTATTCGTATAATTACGATTTGAACTTCCTTACAGGTAAGTCGTTTAATCTTAAATTATACTTCCTAATCCGGTCCTAATAGAACACACACGTTTAAAGTACGGGAGCGATATTCTTCGATGCCCTGTTTTTTAAGTGAAGTCCTTGTATAGATAAGTAAAGTCCTTATAATTAATGATAATGACAAGTAACTTTAATTGATAAAATTCCATTAAAAATAATACAAGAAAGAGTACAAAGTAACAAATTATATGTTTATATAGTTTTCTCAATGTAAAACAATAATATCGATACGACACCTACCTCAGGTTTTTTTTAGAAAGGTATTATTAACTTAGGCTGATCATGACATGGACCGGATGATTTCAATCTCTCAATTTTCTCCCCCATCCCCCAGGTTACGAATATTCCCTATTTCTATTTTTGAAATAGTTTTTATCCTATGTGCTGTGCAAAGACCAAGTAGTATAAGTATAAAGATAATACGTAAGATAAAAGAGATTACAGATCCCGCGTATGACAATATCTAGGAAATGTAGGACGAAGTTTATAAATTATAAACACCCTTCAAAAAAGAGATTTATCAAGTGATCCTCTGTATTCTTTGACAAAATATTCAACACGATCTAAAAATAGAGTAACTTTAGCCTTTAACAAATTGTTCATTTTAAAATTCAATGATATTGTTTACAGTTTAACTTTCCAATACAATGTTCTATCTTAAACTAAACTCGGCGCTGATACGTCGGCTATTTATATTAGTCTCTCGACGGTCGTCTCGAACATTCCATTCCTATGACTAAACTGCACTCTTCGCCGATCCAGCTGTTTCTCGAGCCTCAGCGCCATTCCCAGAACATTCCGTCGCCTCGAGCACGAGTTGGTTGCAATGTGAAGGTCGAGCGTACACAGGGTAGGCTTTAAGAATTTCATAACAATATGTTCGACATTTGGTGTATATCTAAGATGCAAATTAATCTACGACTCGCCGAATTTTAAAATAATATCTGTAAAAACTTTATTATTTAAACTATACTCGATTTTCATCGATTTTGATCTTGATTCTCGTTGCGTGAATACAGATTTTATATAAGTTGCAAAACTAAATATATTTCTAAATATTTTCACACCATCGCCATATCTACCTAGATAATTTAGAAAGAGATATGTGCGTAATGCCTTCCATTTCATTGACATATGCAATAGAAGTCGTGTTATTTACTCTCGACGGTATAGAATAATTATTCTTTTCAGACCTAACAAAACATTTTAGTGCATTAAAAACAGTCAATTATCCTAAAATCAAATTATATGTCTCTTCTTCTGTTGTTCATCCTAGAATCCGCGACAAGCTTCACCCTTGCAGACTGTTCCCCAAGCATATTTAGACGCATCCGTATATATCTCAAATTGATATTTCCTCGGCAAGAGAGACTTATGTGAATCAGGTAAAACGTGTACCCACCAATGCAAATCAGATTTTCCTTCTTTTGAAATAAATATTTTTGAGTTATAATTTCCGCTAGTGTACGCAAATGCCAAAAATTTTTCCTTTTCTACAATTTTTGTGTATTACCATAGCGAATTGCTGGACATACAGATATAAGGCTATCAATCAATTTGGCAAAACTTCTAATTTTCATTCAACTTTTAAAAATGACTTAATCGATTTTGAATTTCTTTTAATTGTATCTCTTGACAAAAACATAGTTAATTTGCTAGAGTTAAAAAAGAATCATATACTTACCTCGTTTGGAAGGTATCAAACATGATTTACGGTAATTGATCAAAAAACCTAAAATCTCCAAACAACAAAATGGAATCTTTAGTTAAAACCAATAATTTTTGCCACTGTAGAACTTACATATAATAAACCTAAGTTGATTTATAAAAATACTTTAAAATAGACCAGTAAACTAAAAAGTTACAAAAACAATCCAAGAAATACTAAAAACCACGTACAAACGTATAAACAACACAGGAATTTAAAAATATCTGGTCCGGCAATGACGTAATACACTGAAACGTACATGGTATAGGGAATTGGCTAATACTAATGGAGAAGTTAAGTATCCTTGGGTAGGATTCTCCACTCCAACCATTCATAGTTAGGTTCTGAGTTTTAATTAACAGTGCTGTTCCTGAAGTGGAGGTGAAAAACAGTAGGTACCAAAGCCTACACAGAACACACATTAATAAAAATAAATAAAATCACAAACTGAGACTGGCTAACAATTAAGTAGATAGGTACTACCAATAAGTTACAAACCAAAACAAAAATTCCTTTGTAATATCCCTTGTTAATGTTAAATATTACACGCCAGTATGTTGATATTAATTACTAGTATTCGATCGTTAATTTTGAAATAATATATCAAATATATCCAATTTCGAATTGTTTCTCAATCTACTTTAGAATTATTTTTAAAGAGTTACTTCTTCATTTAGGAATATTTTAATATAAGAAACCATTACTTATTTTTAATTTAAAAAAATAAATTTTTTCCTACGTATTATGCAATTTTAGAAAGCAAAATCTTTTTTCTGAAATTATACTTCTGAAATTCATCTTTAATTTTGTTTAGTATGTTAAGACTAATCTACAATTAATGAAGATTGGACAGAAAAAAAACTAAACGTTAGTTATATAGGAACACAACGCCTACCACATATTTAATTATGTACTTTCATTTATAAAGCTGTAATCTATTAGAAAAATAACAGTATATCCTGTTTCTTAAAAATGTAATTTTGCATGTCACGCCAATCATTGAGTAATAGAGGTATTAGGTTCAAATATTAACAATCAACGTTAATTTAAATTATATCAGAATTTGGAGAAAGTCAAAAATATGGCAGATAACTGCATTTCGAAATTAGATAGGTATTTATTTCAAAATAGCGTCAGTTTTTTCATAAAAAAAAAATACGAAAATGCTGAGCACAATCTTGTTGTGTATTAAACGCGACAAAGACGAGACTGTTTAAGCTTTTTAATTCTTAAGACAAGCCATTACAATGACAAAATGCAAGACATTGAGACGGGCATCTTCGGCATCTTTGGCTAACTCCATTCAAAAACCCATTTCATATTCATTTTCAAATGTAAGATTATCTTATAACAAAAATGTTCTCTTTATGGCATGCAATTTTATCCCACACACGAATCTATCTCGAAAATGATGACGTTCTGACAGAAGAAGATGATTTGTTATACTTTGGGTTTGTGTGGAAGCTGGTGTCGAGTAAGGAAAGAAGCAGAAATGGTAGTAATAGAGGAAGTCAAAGGTAGTAATAGAGGTCGAAGGTAGGAAAATCTTGTTTGAACAAAGACCAGAGATAACAGAAATATAATCATGCATTGATCAAATATAATATTCACGATGTCAAGATTAATTCGACAATCAATACACTCTATTTGTAGAGACGGGGCGAGGAGACGAAAAGTGAGAAGTAAGAGAAGGGATAAAGAGAATAATTTTACGCAGATACAACTTATTTTTATCAATAAATAAATGTGTAAGCCGCTGTGCGCTTATAATAAACAACGTAAATATCCATACCGGTATAAGCCCTGTTGCCACTTCTAACCTATTATGTGTAGTTTTAGATTTGTCGGTAGCCGGTAGTGTTTTAAAAGTGCCGATCAGCCGAAGTTAAGTTAGTGAACTTTATCGTATAAAAAGATAACCGCTTGACTATATTTAATCAAACTTGCAGTGCCGGACTGGTCGATTTCCGGGACCCTAGACATTACAGTGCAAATTTGATTTTGGACGCATGTCTTGAGGCACTGTTTAAACGGTTTTCCTCTGTTTTTCATTTAGAATGTGAAGAAGCACTAATAGCCGCAGTTTCTTGTCCAAAATTTAAACTTCGGTGGTTCAACACCCTAAAAAGTGAGCTACAGTCCCAGACAGGAATCTCACTGGACAGTGTAAAACAAACATTTATTTCATGTGCTGAACGGCTGTTTGTTAAATTCTGATAATGTTGATAATGACAATGGCAGCAATGATAGTAATGAACACGATGCTGAAAACGAATATGACGGTTTTTTTGATTTTGACGAAATCGAAACATCAGAATCTAAGAAATCTAAGAAAGTAAACAAACACGATAAAAGGAGATCAATAGTTGAGTTGGAGCTTTTACATTATCTTGAGGATAAGAGAACCGATCTGTCCATGCTGGATGACTACCCAACAATAAAAAAAGTGTTTATACGGTATAATACATGTTTACCATCTTCTGCTGCAGTGGAGCGACTTTTTTCATTTGCAACAATGTTAAACGACCCTCGTCGCCATGCTCTTACTGATGCATATTTTGAAAAAATTGTAATATTAAAGGCAAATAAAATTAGTTCCTAGAAAGGTATAGATTTTATTGTTTTATTGTGGTCATATCCAGAGTTAATCAACTAAATACAACACAAAATTTTCTGTACAACTCAGTATTTAGTTGCCCGACTGTGGATATCTAGTATATTTAAACCTATACTAGTATATACATATAGTATACAAAAGCCATAAGATTATACAATAAAAAATTAATTATTAATGTACTTGTTACTCTAAACTTACAAAAGTACTCGAGTACTCATTAAGTGTGCTTTCCTACGTTATGTACCTGGTACTTGAGTACTTTTTGGGAAGAGTACTTTTTTCTTGTACTTGGAACAGCTCTGATCTAATTTAGTGAAATTACATCTAATTTAGTTAAATTACATCTAAATTAGTTAAATTTAATATAATCAATGATTCAAAATTTTTTGGGTTCAGTTGCATTTAAATAGGTTGAATTATTTTAGCTTTTTTAATAAATGTAAATAATTTTGTAAACAAAACGAAAATAATGAAATAGACATATGACAACAGCGGATATTATACCCGCCTGTGTCCCTTAGAATATGTCTTATTCAAGATCGTACGATATTTGTTAGTAGTTATATCTCCCCGTTACCTCTGGCAAAGACGCATATCGTACAGTTATGTATATTCATAATTTTAATAAATATTTGTCAGATTTCAACCTTTTTTATACTGAATATTATACTGATATCCTGAAAGAATAGCCCATTTTGTGATCCTTGCGGCAGCAGATGTATGAATACCTTTATTTCTATAAAATATAAATTGTAAAGGGCGGTGGTCTGTTATCAATACAAACCTAGCATATAAATACTTGTGAAAAATCTTAGTTTGTTAAAAAATAAAAGAAAGATAGACACGATCACATTGATTCAATATTTATTCGTATACCTAGGGTAATAAACATGTAATAAATAAATAAACTTATGAGGTATAATATAAGTTCAGTACCGAGTTCAGTACCATTAAAGTATGTATGTGAACTTATGTCTATAATTATATATACAATATAAACAGTAAAAATTAATGTAATTATCTCTCTTCTAGATTTTTGTCTCTTGCCACAACTGCTTCCTCAAATTTTACCATATAAGTAGTTCCCTTATGCCAATGAGCCGTTACTTTTGCAGGCTAAAACAGATGACAACCTATTATTCAAGTTTGTATTCAAATTCGTAAAAATACTCATTCATTTTTATATTTTTAGGTTTATGTCTTAGAAAATGATCTAAAGACAGATGTAATTATGTGACAACATTGACAGAACATTGTGTGTTAATTTGTTGATCTTTTTTAGACAAACCAAAAAAGTTTAATTAAATTGAATAAATAATAAAAGTAGAACAAAAGTTTCATTATTAAATTCTCACAAATTTTGAAAAATTGTTGAGGAACAAATTTTAAAACAATTTAAGAAATTAACTTTATTAAAATTTATAAACAGAAATATTTATTTCATCAAAAATCCCATAAAATAAAATTACTACGAATTGAAAACTTCCTCCTTTTTTGAAGTCAGTTAAAAAAATAAAGTAAATTTGTAAATAAACCTACAAATCCAGTTCCCGTCAATACTGCTTCTACTATTCCAGCTATGAGAACGGCGCAATTAAGACTACTTTTATCTCTAGGTACTGATATAAATCTGTTTACTATAGGCTCTTTTTCCATTAAATAGTATGTATTTTCATCATCGTTTGAGTGTTCTAGTTTGTCAGCTTCTTTGCCAAATAATGCCTAAAAATTTAAAATCAAAAACGATCCTTGTAATAAGTCAATTCAAAACTTACTTTCCACAATGTACTCTTGACGAATAATAAAATATTCAACAATTTTATTTCACGTTTTCCTGCTCTTTCTCTGACAAAATAGAGATCAATAAGTTTCACACCTATTCGTTTTCCTAAATCGTGTAATCTACAATAAAAAACGAGACATTTACAATATATTATTCACTTTTTGACTGAAATTTACCTATTTTGCAACTCTGGAACTGTTTGCGATTTATTTTGGCAATATTGCACTACTTCTGAAAATAACAGAGCAAAACAACTAAGCGAGACTTCGCCCTTGCCTTTACTTAAAGGTTTATCTAATATACTGGAACGATTTCTTCCTGATAAACTCATTTTAAAATATAGGTGTTTTTGTGGAATATTTATTTTGACTTTTACACCTTTGACATAACTTTTTAAGGTTAGGTTGGTTGACATTTGACTTGCCACCGCATTGCAAGGATTGGTTATTAAACAGGATAGCCTAGGTTCTTAAATTTGTTTGCGAAGTACACTCTTGCCAAATGTATATCTGTGATGATTCGCAGAACCTCGCACATTTTTGCTGCGTTTGAATATCCACATCGGATATGCATTTGAGATGTTGTGAATTTTTTATCACGTGCTAGAGGATTAGATTTAAATGTAGATGTAATAGACAAACGCTCTAGACTTTATTGGCCACGTGATAAAATGATGAGTTAGAAGTTTATATTTTTAAATTTAGAAATAAATCTAAATTTGAAATCTAAACAAAAATTAAACAAACTAATCGCTTTTATATTCACGCTAGCATAAACAAAGGATAAATCGATAAACTTGGCTTCACAGAACACCTACTTTCTGGTATGGAACGAACGTCTCATTCACATTTCAATGGGCGGGTGGCGGGTGTTTTCATCGATTTTAATGTTTAGTTAAAAATCAATAGAAACAATCTTTCAATTCAATACATCTAAATAATTGTCGCGTTTACATCTTGAGCGTTTGTTTATCCCAGATGTTGCCGTTCAGATTACATTTTTTTATATCTCTATTTGTAATGAGATGTGAGTGAAATGTTCGTTCCATGCCAGAACGTAGGTGTTCTCTGAAGCCAAGATTATTGATTTATCTTTTATTTATGTGAAGATAAAAGTGATTAGTCTGTTTAATTTTTGTTTAGGATATAAATTTAGGTTGTTTTGTAGTCTCAAAAGTAAAATTTAAAGAATATGAACTTCTAACTTGTCATTTTATCACGTGACCAATAAAGTCTAGAGCGTTTGTTTATTACATCTACATTCAGATCTAATCCTCTATTACGAGATAAAAATTTCATAATATCTCAGATACATCTGATGTGGATCAAACGCGACAAATGTGGGCGAGGTTCTGCCAGGACGTCAGAAAGTTGACATTTGGCAATAGTGCAATTCAGGAAGAAGACTTGAGAGACTAGGCTATCCTGTGTAATAGTGTGAATCCTTGGTTTTAATTTTTGTTGTGACTTTTGTTTTGAATTTGAGGTTAAGGTACACACAGTCTCAAATAAAATATAAAAAAATAGAGATAAATGAATGAATGGAATGATATTATTTATGTGTTGATTTTACATATTTGTTTAGTATTTTAGTTTCTTAGTTTTAGTTATCTCTGATTTTATTAAATGGTTTTCAGTTTAAAAACATTTGTAGTTTGGTTATTTTAAACAGGAATGTCTCGTTGTTTTGTAATTGGGTGTAACAATGCAACTTACGGTCAACGATATAAAGTAGGTGTAACATTCCATGTGTAAGTTTTCACAAATATTTATTTAATTCATAAATTTAATAATTTTTGTTTTATTTCAGATTTCCAAAAGTTTTCCAGAAAGAATGGCTGATAGCCACAGGGAGATCGGTTGATCATTTTGTGACGCATGAAAAAATTTGTTCAGAACATTTTAAAAAAAGTGATTTTGAACCATATGGAGAACGCAAGAGAATAAAGCCGGGAGTGATACCGACGCAATATGTTTTCAGCCAACCAGAAATACCTGTATTCACAAGAAATTTTTCCGAATCAGATAATATATAGTAAGTTATATTGCTGGTCACAAATAACATCATTACCATTTTTTGGCAAAATTGAGTTGAGATCATGTTTCAGTTTAAAAATATATGTTCTTTCGAATAAAATGCACAATTTTGAGATTTTTTGTTTTATAATAATTTTATGAAAAGAGTAGGTAATTTCATTGTATTTCATCTGGATAAAAAAGTGGCCCAAAGATTATTATAACTATATTATGATCCACAATTAATAACTGTTAAATTCAATCAATGTAGAAACATAATTTATAATAATTGTATTTACAGTGAAGAAGATAGCTGTTCAAACATTGATAATGGGTATGAAAGGTTGACAGATGAACATTCTAAAGTAGAAGGTAATTCAAGTTCACCTGAAACTTTCCCAAGATTGATACGAGCTTTTCATACCTATAGGTAAGTTTTCAGTCGAATTAACTTTATGTATAGTAATTCTTAATATTTTAGTAAAAATCCCTCACTTATGCCAAGTAATTTAACCTCACCTGAAAAAAATGGGAAAACACCAACTACTTCTACTATAAAATGTACATATAGGTGAGTTTTTATTCGAATTAACTTTGTGTATACTAATTTTTAATATTTCAGTAAAAAACCCTCACTTATGCCAAGTACTTTAATCTCACTTAAAAAAAATGGAAAAACACCAACTACTTCTACTACAAAACATACAATAATAAGGAGTCTTCATACATGCAGGTATAATTTAATTTGTAATTTATTTTAAAATGCCTTCTTACTTTGCTTTTCTTTGTTATCAATTCATTATAACAAATTAATATATATTAATCCAAAATGTCATTGTTAATTGCATTTTAGTAAGAATCCTGAAAAAACAAAGACTGACATCTTAGAAAAAAGAATTAATATTCTTCAGAAGAGGGTAGCGTTTCTTACAAATAATTTAAAAGTATCTAGAAGAATTAGTACTAGAAGAAAATATAAAATGAAGAGGATGAAAAAAATAATTTGTGGTTTAAAAAGGAAAATGTCTTTATTTTTGGGACTGCAACAGCTTTAGAAACCTATTTTGTTTGTTAAAATATTGTTAAGTAACTAATAAAACTAAACTGATCATACAAAAATTTCTAATGAGTTGAGGATTAGTGATAACACTGCAATTTTACCTCCACAAACGTTTCCCTAGTCCATTCTTGATAAGTAGTTAGTTAAAATTAATGATACTTGAGGATTTACTGCAGCCTTTTATGTTCATTAATATTTTAAGAAATGTCAATGAAGAAAGGACTAACTTTAAGTAGGAACAACCAAACTAAATGGGGTTATAAATATAATGGAGCCAACAAGTTTAATCACTGAAATGCTGGGGTGCTTAAGATAGTTGGGGAATTATATCTAGTAGGTCAGTCCAATACTAATATTTATTTGAAGGTAAAAAGAAACTTTTTTAAAATTCCAATGCTTATGATAATTCAATATAGATGGCGAAGAGTTACAAGGGTACAAGTTAAATCCTGCCATTTTTATTCCATTTTGTTTAATTGGGTATTTAATTTTGTTGAAAGTTGCAATATTCACAATGTGCTTTTGTTGTTTTCTTTAAAACATTTTAAGATAGGAATTTTTAAGGGTGACAAATAAAATCTAAATAAATGGCATTATTACCCTAAACTGTATGATAACTGTGATTCCACAGGGAGTTTTTATTTAAATACTTGTACCTACAATTTTGTATTATAGCAAAAAAAATCCGAGAAAATTAGCATATGGAGACTTATTTTCATTAATAATTTAATGAAAACCAAGTATAGTATTTATATTACGGCATTTAAGGGGTAAAAATTCAATGGAACTTCATTAAAAAAATGTGGAGGTAACTAACGCTTAAAGTATTTTTTTCTGCACTCGATTGCTTGATTAAATTTCACTTTATAACATTAATATAAATATATGTAATTACTAGAGCTAGGAATATATACAAAACGTCATATTTTACATATATATATATATACAATTTTGAATGCATATATTGACATTTTGTTAATTTTTTGGCATATATCTGACGTACTAATTGGCTGGACATATTAAAATTATGATTTTCTAAAATTTTGAAGGATTAACTTTTCCCTGTAATAAATTAAGGTTAATGGTGTAGGTACTTGAGAGGATTAAATTATAAACACCCTCCTTACCAACAAATTTTGCTAAATATCCTTTCAGGTAGTTGTATTAATATCTTCAAATTTCTAAATGACTCAGTTTACTTTCAACTTCATTTCAGTCTTTATTGTTGTGTTAACCAGTGGGAAAAATGGCAAAATTAATTGAGTCGTGGGTAAAATCTTATTCAGATTTTGTTGTAGAAGGTGATAACCAGTACTTTTATATTTTATTTTGACCTTTCACAATGGTAAATCAAACGACAGTAGAATATTATTTTAACTCACAGTTAAAAAAAAAGTAGGGCAACTTTACAACGTACGCATTTATTTAATTTAACTAAAACTTCAACATCTACAGGAATTTATTTGTTTAAGATTCCATGTAAAACAAAGTTTCAAATCGACCAACACGCGAAAACACCCTCACATATAGCAAAGCAGAAATCTAAAGACACTCGCAGACAAAGTCAACTTCCCTTGAAACAATATTTAGAATCTGGATCGTCTAGTAGTAGTGAACAAGCTATTTTTAATGAAGATTTATGCAAAGCTTTAGTGACTTTGAATATCCCTTTAATACGATTAAATAATCCAAATCTCTGATCATTTTTGCAAAAATACTGTAAATTTGATATTCTAGAGCAAAGTATATTACGCAAACGTGGTGTTGACAGTTTGTACATTGAAACTCGTGAAAAAATTCGTGAGATTACCGTTGGAAACCATTTCTACATTATTGTGGATGAAACAACAGACTCTTGTGGTCGATATATCGCCCATTTAATGATAGGTTCATTACGCGAAGAAATGCAAATTGGTCCATATCTAATCGCTTCAAAGCAATTAGATAAAACAAATAACTTGTTTTATCCAGACAGAATTGTCTTCCTTTTTTCTTCCGGAAGCCGTTCCAACAGAAAAATGTGTATTGCTGTTATCCGATGCCGCCCCGTACATGGTAAAAGCCGCACAAAATTTAAAAATGTTTTATGAAAACTTAATCCATGTTACATGTTTGGCTCATGTCCTTAACAGAGTTGCAGAAGAAATTATGCATTTGTACCCAAAATTATATTAGATTTAGAACAAAAAAATTTACCTTTGGTGACTTCCGTAAACTTAATTAAGACGTTTGAATCAAAAACAATAAACGAAAAAAATAAGTTATATAAAGCTACAATAAAAAATCCATATGATATAGAATTAAAAACTAGGTATAATTATTTAAAAAAATACACAAAAAGACTAATCGACATATCAAAAACAACTTATTTTCAGAATAACATTGAACAAAATAAAAATAAATCGAAAGGGCTTTGGGACACAGTAAACGAGGCTTGCAATTCTGTTAGACCTAAAACAAAAATAGATAACATTAAACTAGTAAACGGGGATATATTAACCATTTTAATAAATATTTTAGTAATATTGGCCAAATATTAGCATCAGAAATACCACAAGTAAAAGATGTTCAAAATGATTTTAGAGAAAACACTAATATGTGCAGTTCAATGTATCTAAATCCTGCTACAGAATCTGAAATAAAAAATATGATCAATGAACTTAAGAATAAAAAATCACCAGGACACGATAAAATTAAATCTGAGACGCTAAAAAATATATGTGAAGAAGTTTCAACACCTTTAACTTATTTAATTAATAATTGCATGGTTACAGGTTGTTTCCCAAATGTTTTCAAGGTAGGTATTGTTAAACCACTGCATAAAAAAGGGAGTAAGTCAGAGATGTCAAACTATAGACCTATTTCATTGATATCCAACATAGCAAAGATTGTTGAAAAAGTCCTTAAAAAGAGAATAATACATTTTTTGGATAAACATGAATTAATTTCACAGTGTCAATATGGCTTTAGGAAAGGTAAATCCACAGAAGATGCAATCTATGAGTTAACTTCATATATATACCAAAAGTTAGACAAAAATACGCCAAGTTTATGTATATTTGTGGACTTGTCAAAAGCTTTTGATACTGTGTCTCACGCGAAACTTCTCGAGAAAATAAGGTCATACGGATTAAGAGGCACAGTGTTTGACTTGATTTCAAGTTATCTTTCAGGACGAGTCCAATACGTGGAAATTGACAGTGTCGTCAGTGAGCCTGAATTGGTCTCTTGTGGTGTTCCTCAGGGTACAGTATTGGGTCCATTATTATTCCTGATATATATAAATAATTTATTAAAGCTCAATACCACAGGAAAAATTATGAGTTTTGCGGACGATACAGCCATTCTTTACGAGGACTCGAATTGGAATGATTTAAAAAGTCGAACTGAAAAGGATTTTAAGAAAATACAATTGTGGTTCCAACATAACCTTCTCACACTAAATATTGAAAAAACGCACTATTTACCATTTACATCATATGAAAATAATCTACCGAATTTTAATACTTTAGAAATAGATCAGTCCAGTGCAATTCCAGCTGCAAAATCAGTTAAATATCTAGGTATCATAGTTGATAGACATCTAAGATGGGACCTTCATATTAAATCGGTTGTACAAAAATTAAGAGGCATGTTAGGGAAATTTAGACACCTTAAAAAATTGTTAACTGAAGTTCACCTAAAGACGCTCTATTATGGATTAATTCAATCGCAGTTGAGTTATGGAATAATAGGATGGGGCGGAGTAAGTAACTTTTACCTACAAAAAGTAGACATTATTCAAAAATGGCTAATAAAAATAATATATGGGAAAAGTCGTACTTACTCCACAAACTCCCTATTTAAATTATCGGGGCTATTAGATATTCGCCAGATTTTTTGTTTAAAAATATTATTATTTACTAAACAAAAAAAAATTAAAATAGAACCCATTTCTCACAAGTACGAAACGAGAATTAAGAGAAGGGCATATATTACACCAAGATGCGAAAAAAATGCTGTTCCTATCTAGCACCTAGAATATTTTCAATAATTCCCGATTTTTTGAAAAATATACAACAATACAAACACTTTAAACAAAAAATTAAAAAATGGATAGGGGAAAGTGACAGAACAATATTTCATAAGTTTGTAAATTCAAATATGTAAATAATATAAAATGTGTTAATAAATAATATAATATAGGTAAATAATATAATATAAAATAATAGACTTGAATTTGACGCTATACCTAATTACATTACATAAAATTACGACAACATGATTAGAACAATATTCCCGATTATAACAATACACCCGAATATGACAATACACCCGATTATGACAATACACCCGATTATGACAACTCATATAATTATGAACTATTCCTGATTTTGACAACTCACTTAATTCTGAAATTTCATTGTAATCTTTTAGTTCTCGAATGATAATAGAAATTATTATAGTAATTAAGATTAATATTAAGGATACAAATGTATGAACTTACTAAATAAGTATATCACAATACAAGCTGAGCCTCTTCTGGGGTGACGCTTCTGTGATTAGTCGTAGTTTATTCAGCATAATATTGTAATTTTACATGTAAATATTTTTTGGTATTGAATAAACTCATTATTATTATATTATTATTAGAGTGTAAAAATATCCATGGCGATGTTGGAAAGACGATTTTTCATAAATTTTCAAATGTAATTTTATAAAATGAAGGATTTATTGTTTTAAGAAACCTTGCTAATATTTATTCTGGTAACTTTGAAGATATTAATAGCTTTGTTCGCGGAGCCTGTCGCCGACAAGTCCCCGACAGATACACATGCGCATTAGGATTTTAAGCGTTCGCGGAGCAACAAATCCGGGATTTTGACAAAATGTCCTGCGTTCGCGGAGCACTTATCATTGGTACACGACAAGTTACCGACAAGTCAAAACTATCAGCAAACATTACCATGGACAATTTGTCAGGACATGCATAGTAGGTAAATGCCCTGGTGAACAGAAAAGGAACGGGTCAAAGACAAAGACGACAATTGTTGACATTGACTTAACACAGTCAGTAGGTACTGTAGGTAGCAGTCATAGATATGAAGCAGTATTAGCCATTTTTGTTAAAAGTTCAAATGAAACAATTAAAACTCTACAATCAATGTAAAAAAATCGAATTTGTCAGACATTTGTATATAACCATCTGGCATCTGTGTAATTACAATTTTTCTTTTCTTATAAAAATCAAAACTTCCAAACGCTCAATTGCAGCTAACTTTGTGATAGTCATTTTTGTACACAAGTCGTTCGCGGTGATCTCTTGTCGGAGATTTGTTACCAGTCGCAGTTGCGTACAAACGTGTCCTGATTATTTATCAGGGATAAGTCGTGTTCTTGTCGGCGACAGGCTCCGCGAACAAAGCTAATACTATTCATCCAGATATTTCAGGAAAATTTAAGTTTGCATCTAGTACTTCTGTAGATGTCGAAAGGAGTTTTTCTTTGTACAAGTACATACTTACTGATAGGAGACAATCATTTAATACAGATAATTTGGAAAAACATCTAATTGTTCATTCGTTTTATAATAATGTTCATTTGTAAATAAAATTAGTTAATAATTAAATAATTATTAAGTATTATATTAGGTATTGTAAAATAAAACAAATAATAAATATTAATAAACTATTTCGATCAAATAACAAATTACTCGTATTGCATATGCTCTGCATATTTTTAAATTTTTTACGCATATATTGAAGTATTTTGCGGCATATATATGCGCATATTTAACTACTTTTTGGGTGCATATATTCCTAGGTCTAATAATTACTAAATGTCGTAGGTACGGGCCTATACCTATTTTTTTGTTATGGTTGTCCAAATAAGAAATGACACCAGCCATGAATCGCCTATTCTACAGATCTGAGATTATTTTTAAACAAAAGTGGTCAGTTTTCTTGACTACTTTTACATTAAGAATTTTTACACAAGATGTCGGCTGTATTTTAAAGCATTTATTTGGACACCCAATATGTGTATGTAATTATATGTATATGTTAATTATAGAAGTGGAGAAATAGAAACAGTTTTGATGGCAGAGTTGTAGGTGGTATAAGTTAAAAATGAACAAATAACGTTTTTCAAGTGTATTTTTTTATTTTAGGAAATATTTCAAATATACCTATAGGCATACAACTTACAAAATTAAAACTAGACAAACGAAATTAAAATTGAAACAAAATGGCACAGAAACAATTTGAATATTAAAATTACACAAATACAAAATAATTAAAATATAATAATCTTCAATACAAAGGCCATTACAACATTTCTCTCTGGGAGCGTCTGGAGTCCCCAAACAAATCCAGAAACAGAAGCGGCGTAAGGCGTGGACGACGTGGGTCATCGCCTACGGCAGACCTGTACAACGTGCGGCCCACCATTGTCGTTTTGACAGCCCGTTGGCCGTTGACAAGTTTGGCCCGCCTATGTCAAACTATACATTTTACTTTATTTATGCTGACGACCATTTTTTTAGAAGCTCGATCAGCAGGAATTGGTTTATGAATTATAAGCTGACAACTTTTTTTACTTTCCTATCTGCATACAGATATAAGGAAATTATAGGAATCATGATTTTTTTCGACCTCGAGTTTTCGACGGATTTTTACGTTTTGAGGTCCCCTGAATCCGTTTTGACTATTTTCGCGATGATGTCTGTGTGTGTGTCTGTGTGTCGCATAACTCATGAACTGATACACAGAAAAACACCACATTTTAAACTTAAGCTTTGTTCCAGCGTCCAATGAGCTGATTAGATTTTGGGCAGAGTCGGAACATCTGGGGGGGGGGGGTACTTTATAGGTGATCATTTTTATATTTTATGGAATATATCTGTTATTTACGTTTCGGGAAGAAAATTCTTCAAATAAAAGTTACTTCTTATAATATTATCTATAATTTTTGTTCTATACAAAATTTTCCTAAAATAGTCCGTAGTCGAGAAATTTGACAAAAGTAAAAAAATATTTTTTTATAAAAATTGTTGAAACAAAAGTTGTTTGTAATATAATTCTCTATAATTTTTATCCCATACATAATTTCTTTAAAATGGACCGTATTCGAGATATTTGAGAAAATATGTAAATTTCGAAATTTGAAGAAAACTCAAAAACGGATAAAGAAAAAAACATTAAATTTTAAACTTAAGTTTTATTTCGGTCTGAAATGATTAGATTTTGGACAAAGTCGGAACATCTGGGGGGGTACTTTATGGGAGGCCGTTTTTATATTTTATGGAATATATCTGTTGTTTGGAGAAAAAAATTGTTCAAATAAAAGTTACTTCTAATATTATCTATAATTTTTACTCTATATAAAAATTTCCTGAAATGGTCCGTATTCGAGAAATTTGACAAAATGTGCAAAATTCTGATTTTTATGAAAATTGTTGAAATAAAAGTTGTTTGCGATATCGATCTTTATAATTTTTGTTTAAACATGATTTTTCTAAAATGGACCGTAATGGAAAAATTGTAGGAAAAGTGCTAAATTAAAATTTTTCAGTATTTTCGTTTTCAATGAATATCTACAGAAAAATGTTTCGAGGTAGATGTATGTGGAAAATCTACCCAGACAGCACACCAAATCCTTTGGATATCTACTGAACATCCCAATATCCACTGAATGTCCAGTCCATGGTGGATATCTATTTTATATCCATGAAATGTAATTTATAGACATGCAAATGTCCATAAATAATTGTAATTATATAGCAAATTATTAAAAAATTACGCCATTGTACTCGCCATTGTGGCTAATAGTACCGTTGAGATATTTAAAATTAATTTTTTTTAAGGTGTATTCAATATCCCATGGACATCCACTATAAATATAAATATATCAAAGTCTAAGCGCGGACGCAAACCATCGTGGATATCTACTAGATGTAATTTTTGATTTTGCTTCCTAAGTATAGATGGCGATACCACTTTCGTATCT